GCTGAGTGGTTAGGGTTGAGGGAGAGTCATTATTTATGTTGAAGTCCCTTAGTATAAGAGCAGGAGTTGGGAAGGGGAGAAAAGCTGTGAGCCAGGTACAGAACTCATAGAAGAAGGTAGAAGAGTGACCGGCCATGTCTGTGGACAGCAGCTACCAGGACTTTGACTGGGTGGCATGACCATCAAAGGAAGAGAGGCCGCTGGGTGATGGAGGAAGGAGGATTCCTCCTCCCCCGCCTCAGCCTCAACCAGTGGTGACTTGCCCAGGGTTACAAAGCCAGTAAGTTTCTGATGCAAAATCTGAACTCAGATCTTCCTGCCTCCAAACCAGTCACCCTCTCCACCGTGTCACCCATGTCCCTCGTCATTTCTCTGGCTTCCTTCAGGATTCAGCTCAGATCCCACCTTGTGCCAGAGGCCCGCTCAGCGCCAACCCTGGAAAACGTTTCCTATCTGCTCCGTCTGGGTCACCGAGGTTCCTTGTCATTTCCAGGTGGTTTTTCCGTTAGACTGTGAGCTCTCGGGGGGCAGGATTGCTCCCCAACACTTAGAACAATTCCTGGCACATGCTGTTTGGTTGTGTCTGACTTTTGGGGGCCCTGTGGTCCCCACCATCCATGGGGGTTTCTTGGCAAAGATACTGGAGCATCGTGCCATTTCCTTCTCCATCCTGGCATATGGCAGGTGCTTATGAAGTCCTTCCTGATCAGTTCTGTGACTGTTGTCTCTGTACCCTCAATGTCCAGCATATAGTCTGGTCCATGGATGTTTTTTAATATATGTTGGCCTGCTTGATTGTAAGTTTCAAAGAGGTAAATTCTGACTTAATGATGAACATACCATCATCATGCCTACTGTGTGCCCAGGATTGTGCACGGGGTAGGGATCCAAAGGCAGAAATTCCACAGGGGGAGGCCACACGTACATATAGATGTGTACAAAAATACAGGGCAATTGAGAGCTGGGAGAAGTCAGGAAAGGTCTCATATAGAAGACAGTGGTGAAGCTGAGCTCTGAAGGAATTCGGTGCTTCTAAGATGTAGAGGTGAAGAGAGAGCACCTTCTAGGGAATGGAAGGGCAGGAGGGAGGCACAGCCCGTACAAAGACATGGAGGCTGGAGATGGCACGTCATCCATCATTCATTCAACAAGGATTTATTATGGGCCCACTATGTGCCAGGCACTGTGCTACGTGCTCGGGATTTAAGTACAAGAATGAAATGATCTCTGGTCTCGATGGGTGCACATCCTAGTGGGAGACAAAAAGTAATAAGTACATCTAAAATCAGATGCGGCATAAGAAAGGTGAGTGTGTGTATAATACCACATACGTATGTGTGGGGTGTCGTGAGTCTGGATTGCAGCATGCGAAAGGGCCCATAATGCTCAATGGAGCCTGGAAAGTCAGCCCGACCACGGAGGCTGTCACCAGCCAAACAGAAGAGTTTATGCTGGATCAAGAGGTGCGGGAAGTCCCTGGCGTTGGTGACTGGGGTGAGCGCTCCAGGAAAAGTCCTACGGCAACAATGTGTAGAGTGGGCTGGGCCCATGAGACCAATGAGGAGGCCCTCCCAAGGGGAAAGGACGGCCTAAGTTTAGCCGGTGAGTAGAGAGATGCAGGAGGGGATGCGAGGATAGAAATGGCGGGCTCTGGCCGCCGACTGGCTGCGGCCGGGAGGAGAGCTGGGAGAGGATGGAGTGGCCCACGCCGAAACTCCAACGTGGAGGCTTGGGCAGGCCTCGCCCGTGGGACAGAGGCACTGTGGGGCTAGCGGAGGGCCCTGGGCTGAACACGTCTGCAGAGGAAGGAAAGATGGGGTCTCGGCAAGGGTTTTGAGGGGTGAGCAAGAACAGGGCGTGTTTGAAGAGAACAGGGAAGGAATCAGTTGGAGAAGGGATGATCGGGAACACAATCTGCTGGAGAAGGTGGGAGACGGGATGAAGGGACTGGCCTGGTCCAGGACAAAAGGCCGTCTCGTTGTCGGGGCGGGGGTGGCAGATGGGGCTCCATGGAGGGAATGGGAGAAGAGGCAGCTCGCTGCCATTTTCTTCTCTTTTAGTCAACAGGCCAAGTGCTCAGTTGAGAGAGGAGAAGGGGCAGGTGGGGCCTTCAGGAGGCGGGAGAAGATTGAGAGCGCTTCTCTGGAGAGGAATAAAAGGGCTGCCTCACTGCACTGAGGGCCCAGGGCCAGTAGGAGAACAGAAATTTGGTCTGTACGCAGTTGGCACCGCCTCCTTTGCTGGATCGCCCTCCAGGCCATGCCCTCCAGTTCTGTCCTGGGCTCTCTTCTCTTCTCCACCTCCATTATTCCATGCTTCAGCTCCCTTGGCTTTAGGGATCACCTCTAGGCTGATGATATGCATCTCCAACTGGACTTCCAGGTGACATCTTAAGCTCAACATGTCCAAAACAGAATTCCTTCTCTTTTCCTCTATGGCCCCTTCCCATCTTCCTTGTTACTGAAGAGGCAACACCCTCCTCCCAGATCCTTAAGCTCCCCACCTAGGAGTCACTCTGGACTCCTCACTCTCTCACTGCCCCCCCCCCCCCATATCCAATGTGGGACCAAGGCCTGGCAGAGATGCTTATTTGGTAGAAAACTACCAGGAAGAAAAGTAATTGGGTCCTTCCTTGGAGTCAAAGCCCATGGGGCCAGTTTGGGGCAGAAAACAATTGGAGAGTGTGAGGACAGATGGCTCCACCTCCTGCCAGAAAGGTCGCTCTCATTGCTGGGGACTACCTTTTCCCCAGGATACAGCAGAGACAATGGAAGCAGGCTGCCATTTTGATGTGTCAGCGGTGTGAGGGGGCCTCCCAACCGATGGGATCTGGGCTGAGCAGAGACGCCAGGGAGGAGAGATGGAGCCCACCAGCCTCTGCCCCGGTTAGTCCCCATCGGGAGAAGCATCTTCAGGCTAAGAAGGGACATGGATAAACCATGCGAGGCAGCAGCTGTGGCATCGTGGATGGAAAACCCCAGTCCAATTCCGAAAAACCGTGGATTTGTCCTGCCTTTGACCCATGCTGACTGAGACCCTGGGCAAGTCAGGTAGCATGCCCCAGGCAATTTTTATCCCCAGAACCTGACAGGGAAGGGGTTCGTCACCCATCCTGACTGCCACTGCCCCCAGCCTCCAAGGGCTAAGCCAGAGACCATGCAGGAGGTGGCCAAGCCCCCATGCCTGAAGGAACAAAGACCTGGTGGTGAGGGGGCAACAGGCTGACTTCGGATACCCCAGAGGCTGCCATGAGGGAGAGGGGCTGCTCTGACTCTGCGGGGCCCCGCCTTGGTGGGACCAGGAGCCATGAGGCTGCAGAGAGGACAGTGGAGGCTTGACAGAAGGAAACCTTCTTAATGATGTAATGATCTAATGATCGATGGCCCCACTGCCCGAGGAAGGAAGGTGGGTCCGTAGCCCCGGAGGGAGGGCTCCAAGCCAAGACTCCACGACCCCTTCTAACGTTCAGCTGTTCTGGCGCATCGTCCTGGGTGCCTCTGAGTCCCCTGGGAACCCTGCACTCCAGTCCACACTGACTGATGGTCCCATCATCCAGTCAGGCAGCTAGTGCTTCAAAGGGCTTACTGTGTGCCGGGCACTGGGCCTGCCCTCGGGGTAAACAGCTCACAGAGGGGGTGGGAATAATGGCAGCACAAAACATACTCTGATGAAAGTGGAGAGATGACGGTGACGGGAAGCTGTCTGCCCACCTGCTGCCAGAGAGGCGGCGGACTCAGGGCGCAGAAGGAGACACGGTGCTGGACAGGGCCCATGTGGCACTGGATTTGGCTGGAATATGTACTCCTTACAAGGTGGGACGGGTGGGAAGAAGAAAGAAATGTCTGATACATGAGAAAATTAATTAAAAACAAAAACCGCCAGCACCATAGTCAGCGTTGTAAAGGCAGAAACGACAGGCCTTGGCACCTTATTGGTTGGGGGGGATGAGGGAGGGGGGCTCTTCCATTTCTAGGTCTCTGATCCTAAGTCCTCCCCCCACCCCTTCCCTTGACCCGCCCCCTCGCCAGGATGAGCTCAGCCCCTGAGAGGAGAGGGGGGTTCTCCCAGCGCGGAGATCCAGGTCCCCCTTCTTCCCACCCCATCCTAGCCCCGTTCCTCCCCGCACCCCCACCCCTTGAGCCAGTCCCAGGTCGGGGGAGGGAAGGGTGTTCACTCCCAACCCTAGGGATCTGAGATCCGGGGTCCCCCTTCCTCCCATCCTATCCTAGCTCCCCTCTTCGGTCAGAATAAACTCAGCCCCTGGTGGGAGAAGGGGAGAGGAGGAGGAGCTCTCCTAGCCCTAGGAGTCTGAGTTCCAGGGTCCCCCTTCCTTCTATCCCATCCTAGCTGCGCCCCTCCCCCCACCCCCCGCCAGGATGAGCCCAGCCTCTAATGGGTGAAAGGGAAGGGGCACTCTCCCAGATCCGGATCTGAGATCTGTCTGAGGTCTCTCTTCCTCTCACTTCTTCCTAGCCCCACCCCTACCCCTCCCCCGGCTCTGGTCGGGGGAGGGGAGGGGCTTTTTCCCAGCCCTCAACGTCTGTCTGTGAGCGGGCCCTCCCACCCCATCCTAGCCCGTTCCAGGCCAGGATAAGCTCGGGCCCTGGTAGGGGGAGAGAAAGGGGCTCGCCCAGCCCTAGAAATCTGAGATCTCGGGTCCCCTTTCCTCCCACCCCTTCCTAGCGCCGCCCCTGTCCCTCCCCCGGCCAGGATGAGCTCACTCGCCTGGCCCCGCCCTGGGTGGGCAGGGCGAGCCCTGGGCGTCCAACTCGGCCGGCAGGCTGTGGGTACAGAGGGCCCCAGCACCAGGGACCGCTGCGGGCGGCGGCCCCTTCACCCTCCCTCCACCCCGCAGCCCACCCACCCCCTGCCCCGCCTGCCTGGTGGCTGCCCGGTGCCTGCAGCCGGGCACACGCACGGAGGCCGGTTCTTGCGCTCCTGCGACTGCGAGCCCAGGCCTGACCGGGCCCAGGCAGAGCAGATCGGGCCGAGGGGCCGGCATGGCCAGCAGCGGGGCTGGCGGCGGCCAAGGGGGCGCGGCGAGGAAGGTGCGCCGCGGGGTCCCGTGCGCCCTGGGCCGGGCCCGCCTGGGCTCGCTGCGCTCCCACCAGTGCGCGCTGCTGCTCGCCGGGCTGCTCGCCGTGTGCGCCTTCTATTACGTGGGCTCCGGCCGCGAGACCTTCTCCAGCGCCACGCGGAGGCTCAAGGAGAGCCGGGCAGGAGGCACGGCCGGGCCCGCCCCGGCCCCAGCCTCGGACGCCCCCCTGGCGCCCGAGGCCAAGGCCAAGCCGGCCGACGGCCTGTCCGCCGGGACGGCCGGGGTGGACTACCACGTACTGATGATGTTCACCAAGGCTGATCGCAGCCCTGCGCTGCAGGCCAAGGGGCGCACAGCCCTGCGCTCGCTGCTGAGCCTCGCCAAGCTGGACGAGCAGGAGGTGCTCAACGTGCACTTTGTCAGCGAGGAGGCCAGCAAGGAGATCGCCAAGAACCTGCTCCGAGAGCTGCTGCCCGGGGTGCCCTTCAAGTACAAGGTGAGCTGTCGGGGCTGGGCTGCGCAGCGCACGGGTTGGGCTGCGCATGGGCTGAGCGCGGGACTGGGAGCTCAGCGGCCGCGGCAGCCACGGGACACCTGTGGATCCATGCCGCTTTCAGCCTAGGCGCTCCCTGGACCTGCGGGCTGCGTGCGGCAGCGTGTGGGTCAGGGTTGAGGCAGGGGCGCAAGGGTCCAGTTGGCCTCGGCCTGAGGGTCACACACGCCGGGCCGTCTGCTCCAGTAGGGACTGACTCTGGTCCCCAAGCCAGGAGGCCCCACCCTGAATCCCAAATACTGTAGGGGGGGGGGGGCTTCGGGAACAGGGTTTGGTACGTTCTTCTCACTCTGCCCAGTGCTGGCAGATGCTCCTTCCAAAGGACATTCTAGTGTGGAAAGTCAATTCCTTCCTCTTGAAGAGCTATGTGTGTGGTGAGTGAGAAGGCTAAGCAAACCTTCTGACCACGCAGAGGGCCTTGTGGGTGCTGGATCTCTGTGACCGCGGAGTCACCCTAGTGCTTGAACAAGAGGTTGCTACCCCCCTTACCCCCAGGGGTAGCTGTAGGGCCTGCCCCGGCTCCCGGCTCCTTCTTCCTGCGTGTCCTGAACCCGTCACTGTGGCCAAAGACCCATCCCTCTTTCCCTTGAGGCCTCACTATCCTTCCAGATACCGAGGTTGACGCCCTTCCTTCCAGGATTATTGAAGTAGCTTTTTATTTGGGCTCCTGGCCCCCAGCCTCGCCCACCTACCCTCCACTGAGCTGTCCAAGGGTTTTCCTACAGTGTGGTTCTGGCCTTGTCATTCTGCTGCTCCGAAGCCTCTGTGCCCCCTCCACCCAGCAGAGGAGCCAGCCTTCCCTTGGGGTGCAAAGCCCTTCTTCCCCCTTGTTTCATTTGTAGGCAACTAAGTTGAGATTTGTGTGGTTCCATTCTTTCTGGGGCCTGTCCCTTCATTGGTTTTTGGGCCAGGATCTCTGGAGGGTGAGAGCCGAGGTTTATGCCATAGATGGTCTAAGAAGGGGGGGATTCCTTGTACCCTCTGGGCCCTTTGTGGCCACCCTGTTCCCACATGGCAGAAGTTAGGCCAGTTAGCAAGCATTTTATTAAGCCCTGTGCTAACGGCCGGTGATGCAAAGATAGGTAAGAAACACAGTCCTGCCCTCGAGGAGCTTCCAGTCTATGGAACAGCTGGGGACAAGACAGATACTTAAGTGGGCAGGCATCCCTGAGGGAAGACTGAGAAGAAGAAGGGGTTGCATGTCCGCATTTGGGAGACGCATGCATCTTTGTCCTCTGGGGCAGAAACCACTCCCCGTCCAGGGGGAGCTGTGAGCAAGGCTCTTCACCCATCCTGCTGTTTGCCCAGTGCCTGGCATATAGTGAGCGGTTCACAAATATGTGTTGTGTGGGACTGACTGTTTTTGTTGTGGTTGGTACCTGGGCTCCAGCCAGACATCAGGGTTGGTAGGCAGACTGAAGGGATAACAAAGCCGAGCTAAAGGGAGGGTACCATTAGTAAGTCAGTCATTCAGTCAGTAAGCACTTATTAAGCACCTACTATGTGCCAGGCATTGTGCTAAGTCAGTGGGATACAAAGAAAGGTACCCCTGCCCCAACAAACCAGCCAGCCCACCCACCTGTCCGTGCTCCCAAGATGCTAATCCCAGACAGACGTGACCTCTGGGGCCACTGCCTACAAATTGTCAGCGACCCAGAATCCTCAATATAAGACCCCCAATGGGTGGGCAGCTGGCCTTTGCTTAGCTGGGCAGGTCTGATTGTTAGGAAGGCTTTCCTGACTGCCCACGTGATAATATCCGTCTGACCTTAAGGCGTCCGATGAATGGCAGCTATTACTGTTAATAACGAATTTGTCCCTTGGCTCCTTTTTGTTCTGCCCTCCAGGCCCCAGCAGACTCCAAGTCTGGTCCCGCCCTAACAGGGTGGTCCTTCCCATCCTCAGTAATACTAAGATGACAATAATAATCACAGGTAACTGTTCTCTAGCACGTCCTATGTGCCGGGCATGGTGCTGAGTGCTTGGGAATGTTAGGTTGTTTGGTTTGTACCACAGCCCTGCCAGGTAGGTGCTGTGAATATCCCCATCTCACAGATGAGCAAACAGAGGCTCAAATGTCTTGCTCGGGGTCACATAGCCAGATTTGAATTCAAGTCTTGCCCAGTGCTCTGTCTGCTGCAGGATAGCTCTCGTGACGCTGAGGAGTTGCTTCTTTTCCAGCTTAAATAGCCGCTGTTCCTTCAAACATGATCTCAAGGCACTTTGGGAGCTATGTTTTTGTAAAGTGTGGCCCCAGAATGGACAATGCTGCTCCAGGCGTGATCCGGGCATAGAACAGTGGGACTGTCAGGACTCTTGTTCTGGACCCACAGTGATCTGAAGCTGCTCTCCCAGAGAGGAGACTGTGTGCTCAGGGCTCTAGGGGTGCTCCTGAGGGGTTGGAGGCCATCTTTCTAATGCTCTCTAGCTCCCTGAGCCCCACAGGCTTCCCCCCGGGATGATCAGCTGAAATCAATGAGCCTGATTTAATTGACTGTTAGGAAAGAGCATTTACTACAGAAGTGTAGTTGTGTTTCCCCCAAAACATCCCCCAAAAGTCTGTGACACTCTCTCCCACCAGGACGTCCAGAATCCAAGAGAAAGTCAACCTAAGCTTAGAGATCCCACGTAATAGCCTTTTTCCGAAGTGCATGGTGTAGTGGCTTCTACCGGCCTCTTGGTGAGGAAAGCCTTGAGTCTTGTCCGGGCTGTCCCTGGCTCCCAAGACACACCCTGCTGAGAGACCAGAGGAAGCTCCTGGGAGATGGAAATTCCAAAGTCCTCTGGCCCCCCAGAGCTCTTGAGGTCCCATTTTGGGAAGTCCTGGCTCTGCTCTCTCTCCTACCCCTCAGCCTCCCCACTGGGTGTTTAGCCAGAATGCTTTCTCTTCTCCACCTGATTCAGATTTGAAGCAGAAGAAGGTCACACACACAAAGGTGAACATCCCTCAGTCTCTTGTCTCTCGCCACATAGGCCAGAAGGTTGGCTGCTGCGACCCCAGCTGCACCAGAACGTCTTAACTTTGAGGCAGTGCAGGGAGTGGCCCCTAGCAAGCTTTGGGAGGGTTGACCACTCTGCCCTCAGCTTCCGGGGCTAGACCTAGCCTTGTGCGCAGGGTAGGAGACCTTCGTGACCCTGTGACCCGGGGCCTCCCTTTCTCTGAGCAAAGTGAGGTCATGGGCTGAGACGATGACAGGACTGTGGACTTGGGTGGTGGGTGATGACGTGTTTTGCTTCCTGGCTGACTGGCTGTCTTGGGCCTTAGGAAGACAAATTTGATTGAGGCAGTGGGGGTCCCGTGGGTCATTTGAAGCCCCTGCCTGACGTCTGCATAGCTAGGACCCTCCCCAGGTGGAGATTTTTGCTTCCTGTGATTATATTAATTCATTATGGTGGGGGACCAATGCCCCCCACCTCAAATCTAGCATAGACATAATCTATCTGAGGTGATTTTAGAAGGAGGGGTGCTAGCAGCTGAGGAGAACCCCATGGACAGGGCGCTGCTTGAGCGCAGATGTGAAGGCTGGCGTGGGGAGGACACCTGTGTGTGGAGGGGCAGTGCCAGGCACTGGCGGGCTCTCTGGCTCTTTCTGTCTGTCTGGACATTAGAATCGTCGATTTTGAGCTTAGGGATCGTCTTACCCATCATTTTACAGGGGAGGGAAGGGAATAGACTAGGTCACCCAGGCCAGAAGAGGCAGCACTGGGATTCGAACCCAGGCCTCCTTACTAGACCCAGCACTCTCTTGTCTCCCAGCTTACTCCAGATTCTTTGTGCGTCTGTCCCACTTTGCAGCTTTCCCTGCCTGTGGTTTGTGCTGATTGGGGCTGGAGGATCCCTAAACAGGAAGAATACGGCCACCAGGCTCCATCCTGGGGCAAAGAGCTGGGCTTAGTGGCAGCCGGTCCCTGCCCGGAGGACAAACAGAGACCTGGGTCCCAAGTGCTCTCTGCCCGCATGCTGCTGCTCTGGCTGCTGCCCCTCCCCCTCCTGCTGCTTCTCAATGGGGAAGGGGCTTGGGGGTGCTTGATGGGAGTCACTCCCAGTGTGGAAACTACCTCCGGTGATGCAGATGGGCAGCTGCCACCCTAGAGATCCGGTGACTTGGGGAAGAGGGGGAGTCACAGCCAGGATGGGTCGGAAGCAGGCTCGGACCCACGTTGTCTTGGTTCCAGGCTGCCTTTCACAGCAGCTCATAGAAAACAGACTGGGAAGATGGAGGAAGGTGCTCTGGAACAGGGGTAGTGTGGCTTTGCTGCATCTGTGGCCACGGGTCATGTGACAGGTCAGTGGGTTTGCTGGGTCAGTGGTTTTGCTTCATCTGTGGTCATGGGTTGTGTGACGGGTCAGTGGCTTTGCTGTATCTGTGGTCACAGGTCACATGACAGGTCAGTGGCTTTGCTGCATCTGTGGTCACAGGTCACGTGACGGGTCAGTGGCTTTGCTGCATCTGTGGCCATGGGTCGTGTGACAGGTCAGTGGCTTTGCTGCATCTGTGGTCGTGGATTGCGTGACAGTCAGTGGCCTCTGTGAGCATGACACTTGCTATTCAGCCCTCCAGCCACCTGGGACGCTGGCTGTGGCCTTGGTTGTGTCTGGGAGTTTGGCCCCGAGGCCCCCAGGCCCCCAGCCTGATCCTGGGGGCTCCTCCTTCTCCAGCAGGTTCTCTAGACTGGAGGGTACCACCTCCTTCATCTCCCACAGCTCTCTGGGAATCTGGGCAGCCCTTGAGGAAAGTGAACTTTCAAAGCTGGCTTGTGTCCTTGGAGAATTCTGCCCGGGGCTTTATTCTCTGTTTGGGGGTTCTCCCAGTTAACCCTGTTCTTCGCAGGGTCATAGCTATCTGAGCTGGGGGGGGGAACCTCAGGCAACCTCAGGGGCACCACGCCCAACCTGAGCCTCTCTTCCTTGCCTTTGCTCAAAGGCTTCCAGGGAGGGGGCC